TGACTGTCATGGGACCAGAATCCATCGCTGCTGAGGAATTCTCCCAGTTACACAGTGAGAACAGAAATCAGCACCTGGCCCACAGGGCTAATTCCCTCTCTTTTGGCCTTAACTTCAGGAGGTTGAAACCAGATGTTCACGGGTTTTACCATAGGGGAGGTTTTAAAGCTAGGAAGAGGATGTTACATAGAACAGGCTGATTCTGAGCATTTTCTTTTCCTCTTGTTTCCTGGTGCTATAGCAGACTGCTGTTAAGCAGGCTGCCAGCAGCCCTTGGCATTTCCATGACTGCATCATTCAGCGCTGCGAGGGACAGGTTCAGGTGCTCCAAGCCACTGGAATGTCAGTACGTGAACGACACGTGCAGAGGACAGGCGTTGAATCCCATGACCGGTGTACACTTATACTCTGGGGATCAAATCAGAGAAGAGGAGTGCAACAGGGACTGGCCTTCATCACTGAGCTGTGCTGGGGAATGTGCTGCTCAATAGCCTGCCCTGGCTGCAGGGCAACGCTGCTGCCTTGTCCCCATAGTGGGTGCAGCTGGTGGACAGATCAGAGATCAGACCTCCAGCTGGGGCCAGCACATGGCTCTGCAGAGCAGATGGGTACTGATAGAAACTGAAATCTTCAGCGGTTTGTGTCAACATGCTGTCTGTGAACTGCAGTGGCTGAGGAGAGATGAACTACATCGGGCTTGACCATTTCTGCTGCAGAGGTGGGGAAGTCCAGTGGATGCAGTAAGTGAAGAGAGACAGCTGAGGTGTTACCATGTCAGAGGGCCCTGCTGGGTCACAAGTCAACACCTGCATCTTTGCACCAAAGCCATGCAACACTCTGCAAGGTTACTTTGCATCTGCAGGCACTTTGACACTATTATTAGGCTGTTTACAACCATAGTAAAGCAACTTATTTGCGAGTGGGGTTAAGAGAAGGTGTTCTCAGGCCTGCCTTAGAACTCCCCAGAGTTTGCATGGAGGACACAACTGGGGTTAGAACAGGACTTTTTAGCAAGGCGTTGTTCCCAACACAGACAGTCATGGCTGCTCCTCCTCCTTCACGACTAAGCTGTGCTGGGGAAGAATTTTTATTTTGTCACAGCAGAGTCTGGGGGTCTGGAGTTCTTTCACTGTATGATTCTGTGGCTTTTTCTGACCTTGCAGCCCAGGAAGAGACGCAGTGGATAATACAGTCTCTTTGATTCTTTCTTTGCTGCCCCCAAAGATGTGCTTTCACAGCCTAATATGAGCTGGTTCTCCATGGACAGTCTGAAGGAGATGAAGTACAGATAATTTTTACCTTTACGCCACTAGCTGATGTCAATGCTGTATTCCCCTCCCCAGCCTCCACTCTTCACTGGATTCACTTGCTAGACAAATGACATCCAGGTAAAAAAGCTACAGCCTCTCACTGTTCGTCTCTTCTTTGTTTCTTTTTCTTTCCATCTCAGCCCAGTCGGCCACCTAAATATTGTTAGACAAAAGCAGGTAAATCTTTTTCTTCCGTCAGTCCCAGACAACATCCACTTGCAGATCCCATTCCACAGCCCTGGGCTTCACCAGCTCTGCCATTCATATGTAGAGCAGGTGCCAGCCAGGGAGCCTCACGCTCTAACACTTGCTAATCACTCATGAATGCATGTGCAAGAGCCAGTCTTGGAGAAAAGGAGAGGGTGGACAGGTGGGGGTAACGGCCAGGCAATGTGGGGATCCCTGTCTCAACCCCTGGCAGATTTGAAAGATGAGCACACTTTTCCCTAATCCCAACCTTCCCTGTAATTAGACACTTACCTCACGGGTGATCTGCTCTTACGGGGACTTTCTGGGTCTTAAAAAATCCAGATGGCACAGAATGGGCACACTGACCTGCCTGAAAAGTATGTGCTAACTTGGAAGAGCTTGGTTAGCGGGATGTATTAGCAGCACTTGCAGACTGTGTGCCCTCTTAAGACCTGCGCGAGTGTAATTACAGTCATCCACTTGGCACATAATCCTCATTAGTTCTGTTCTGATATGCATTAACAATGGTGAAATACATGGGATCAGCCTCAGATGAGAGATGGGGTAGAAAGCAGGTGTCACAACACACAGTGAACTCGAGAGAGCCTTCAACACGCATGGAATCTAGCTACCACTTCAGTGCCCCACTCGAACCGAAGGCTCTGGCAGCTATGGATTTTGCAGAGACTTTTCCCACTGGGTGAGCTGTAGGAAACTGCCCCCATCAGAATGGGGGACACGAGCAAAGAAGCCTCAGGAAAAAAGAGCTGCTGTTTCATTCCGAAGTTCATAAGCGGTGCGTGTTTGGGGAACAAAAGGCAAACTGCCTGACACAGAGCACCCTTTCAGAGGAGAGTGTGGGAGGTGACTCATGTTTTGAGGCTACACAGGGCCTTCGTACACTGAGAAACACAAGACTTGCTATTCCCCTCTGGTGGTGGAAACGGCAGAAAGCATTTGAACACAGCTACGTCTATGCTGTTTGCTTTTAATAAGAGGACTGAGCCTGTAGGAACAACCACACTATGGCTAGAGGGAAGAGGGGAGAATTCGAACAGAGAGGATGCTTGGAAGGTTTTTGCCCAATATGCACAATCTCTCCGTGTTCCCCAGGACTTTGCACAACCCTGGCTCCAAGCTGCGCTGCTCGCAAGTCTTCCCTTGGAATATTCCATATTCCAGCTGATGGGCACTGGTGGGAAATGCTTCTTGAGATGAGTGCTTACGACTATAGCACTCCAGCATCATGTGCGTGGCAGGCACGGATGAAGCGTTGGTAAAGAAAGAACAGACCCATCAAACCCTAGAAATTTGGGTTGGCTCGCTAGCCTGCTTCCCACCTGTTTTTTGACACTCAGCTTTCCTGCCTTTTCAGGGAGTCGCTTGGTTTTGTGCCATGGCTCCTCTGTCCCAGTCTGCCTCTCGCTGCTAACAAAGGGCCACATCATCCAGTAATTCTCAGGTGATTGAGAGACTGGGTTGTTAATGGGAGGGAGAAGCTTTGTCCTTTTCTCGACCTGCTCCCCTAAAGAGTCAAAAGAAAGGAAAACTGTATTTTAATATGAATGAAGGTCTAATTTTTGTTATTCTTTCTTGACCGCCTTCCTTCCACAAACATGACATCTTGGGTCCAGACTGTGAGCTGTGACCACGCTACAGGGGGCAGGCTGTCCGGAGCCAAGTGCTGGGCGAGTACCGAGGGCTGCAGGGCAGGAGTGTTTTCGTATTACACCTAACTTGAGGAGTGTTCAATTTAAAAAAAAAAAAAAAAAAATCAAAGGTGCCTGCTTAGGAGAAAAGCCAGACAAGCTCAGTAGAATACAGGGGAGGGATTTCTACCTGCCACGCACATCCCTGACAGAAGATGATGGCTCCCAGGGAAACCTCTGAGGGGCAACAGGGCTCAGGCCATGGTTCCCTGTTCACTAATACCGAGCCTGCACCCTGCCGCCTTGCTGAGCCCCTTGAACATGAGCAGAATGGCACAGCGACACTCAGTGACACTTCACAGTATTCACCAGAACACAGATGACCCACGGTTGAGCTAGCTACAGGAGGACAGAAGGGCACCTAATCTACATAAAGTTTGAGACAACCTCTACTGCTATAACATTAACCTGCTGATGAAAATGAGTTTAGCAATGCTCTGAGGCATGAACCCATAGTATTTCTGACCCCGTGGTATGAGCTCCAGAGCTGGATTTACAGTATCAGCCAGCTGCTGCTTCCCCAGCTCCAGTTTATGTAAACTGCTGTGTTTGCATCACTTCAGCGCAAGGTTGAGCTCCCGCCCTCTGAAGGTGGTGAACCTACTGACACTAATGGGGGATCCCTTGTAGGGGGAACTTGCTGGATGAAAACGTCTTCCAGCCACAGTCCTGTCTCGCCTGTGCTTAGGCCAAGAGGCCAAGACTGCTTTTAGACCTGAGCTTCTATCTTCGCTGCTGAAGGACTACAGAAAAGGCTTTTTAGGGCATGCTTCAGCCCAGTGAGTGGCTACATTCATTTCCATATACTTAATGAGCCAACTTTTCCATATTCACCTGACTAATACTCCACAGTATTAGGCACGTAATGAATTGAGAACTGCAAAAGAGGGGGGTGGCCACAGCATGAAGGGAGAGGGGGACACAACTTTGGGCCAAAAAACAATTTGTTGCTGCTGTCTGGCCCTGTTGGGAAGAACAGGATTAGACTGGATCCGAACTGTGTTGCTGTTCCAGTTGAAAACAGCTCCAAAAGAAACACGAGTGGATACTTGCGTCTGCTCTATGAGTCATTCCCAACAGGTATTTTTTAAAAGCACATCAGCTCTAGCCATTCACGAGCAGTATATCCAGTTTGCAGGCTGATGGTGCCACAGGGCAGATGTCCCAGACCTAGCACCCTGGGGAGCCTCTCAAACGTCCACATCTTGCTTCCCATAGCATCCTCCGTGCCTGTATGACTTTTGGATTTACCTTCCCAAGATATTTTTCTGTATATCATTTATTTGGGGGGAAATAACTGGATTTCTTTTCTTAAATTCGGACTTTAGATGGTATGGTTTTGTACGCTCACACAGGTCTTGTTTCTCTCACAAAGACATTTTAAAAGATACGTTTGGTCACCTGATTAGAGGTATGGTTGAGGAGAGGGGGCAAATTATCCTCACTGGAAGGGGATATATGGAAAAGAAAAGAGATTTGGTGGTTAAAGCATAAAAATAAAGGGAATGGAAGACAAGTGGGATGAGAAAATCAAAATATGAACAAAGACAGGAAGAGGAAAAAGAAAAAGGAGAGGGGAAATTAAATCAGTTCCATGCACACTACAAAGCAGGTCTGTCTCTGGGAGGGAATCTGATCTATACGTGAAAACTGATCTATATATGAAAGTTACAAACTATGAGTCGTTCTGCTGCGTTTCCAAACACACACACACACACACACACTCACTCACTCACTCTCTCTTCCCCGAGGGAGGATTTGCTGGCGGAGGCGGTGTTTCTCCGGCTGTAAAATGCTAATCCCTCTGCCGCGGGTGTCCCTCGCCAGCCGTGTCCCCTCCGAAGACTCGGGGGTTCCTGCAGCCTGTGGGATGGCCGGCAGCGCCTCCTGGAGCCCTCCAGCACCGGGCGGGAGGGTCTCCAGCCGGGTCCCCTTGCCGATAGCACGGTATCAGTACAGAAAATTATTTCGCCTGGTGCGCGCTGTAGGGGCAGACGCGGGGCGCCCCTTCAGCTGTCATTGCCGAGAGACAACCAAACGCAAGGGCTTTGGTCTGTAGACACAGCACACACACACACACACACACCCCCCCGACCCGACCCCGCAACCCTGCGTTTTTCTCCGTCGTTGCAACGGGCTGGTTTTGGTGAACTCGGAGAGTCCCCGCGGGGAGCACGCGTGTCCCGGGGCAGCCCTGTCCGCCCCGGGGCACCCCTGTCCGCCGGGGACCGTGGGGACCGGCGGCCCTCGCCCCCACGACGGGCAGCACGATGGCTTCGCGTCCGAGGGGGAATCACTTTCTGTGCGTGCATCAGCGGGGCTGACGGCAACAAGCAAGGGACCTGCCCGAAACCCACAGCCCGGGGCTGCGAGGGCAGGGGGAGCGCCCCGGGGCGGCGGGCAGCCCCCCCGCTGGCACTGCTTGCTTCGGGGCGAGAAGCGGGCTCTGGCTCTAGCTCTGTATTTCATCCCTCTCGCCCGATTATAAGCACTTTCCTCCGCGTTCCTAATCGTCTCTCCGCCTGGATCCTGTCCGGATTCTAACTGAGAAACGAAATCACCATTAATTAGGAGGTGATCAAAGGTGGGCCCGACAAGGACCCCTCCAGGCGAGCAGCGCCGCAGCGTTACCTTGCGGCAGTGGACTCAGGGCACCAGCTGGGGCTCGTTTCTCATGATGACTCAAGAGGGGAGGAGGAGATATATGGAAGCCAAGGGAGGCCCCTCTCTGTCCTCTCCAAGAGATTTTTAGCAGTGCAACAGGTTAGTAGCTACTCCCCTGCCTTTGTACACAGGTAGGTGCCTGTGTCCTGTTTCCTTGCGCTGGGGGAGGTGGGGAATTAGTTTGATGTGTCATATGCCCTCATTTGTACTTCCTCCAGGTGGTTTTCCAGGTTTTGTAACTCCCGGGCTCTGAGATCATCCCGGTAAACTTTTAATTTCCTTAAAGGAAGCAATAGTAGTTGCGGGCGGCGGGGGGGAGTTTATCTTCCTCAAGCAGACTGTAGACCCTGGCTTTAAATCCTTAAGATCTATAAGGCTCTTTTATAGCTGCACAGCTCTTGCTTCCTTTGGGATCTGACTGGGTGATCCCCATGTCTCCCTGGTGTGTAGCAAACATGAATTTTTTTTTTAGCTACTACTTCTTTCAAAAGCAAAAAAAAAAAGTGTCAGATGGCTAAGGAGAGAAGCTTGAAAAAGGTGAAGTGCCATTTTTCTGTGCCCCTGCAAAACGGGCCTGCCCGTCTCAGCCTTGGGCTAGCCGCTGGAGAAGCAGCTCCTCTTTCCCGGAGCCCCCTTCCCTGCCACACAGACACGGCTCTGCAGCGCCGTCCCCCCTGCCCCCAGCCTGTATTCACTTGCGGGGAGGTGGGGAGGTGGAGGGCTCATCTGTTTGCCACGACGGTTGCGATCTGCAATGCAGACACGCAGAGTCTCCGCATGCCCCGGGGCAGGCTCTGGGTTCCCCTCCATTCTTTGCATTTGGGTGGGGACCAGTGAGGAGGCGGAGGTGGGGAGAAGGAGTGTTAAATGTGGGGGGTGGGGGGAGTGCCTGCCAAGCCCTGTCCCACTCACCGGGCGGCTCTGCTCGGGCCCTCCGGCCCTGAGGGGGAAACAAGGCTCTTCCTCCCACCCCCCAGCAGGGAGGGGTGTGCTGGCAGCAACGGCCTGACCCCCACCGCGGCACCTAGGAGCCAAGCTGGGAAGCGGGGCCTGGTGTCCCTGCCCCCCCCCACTCCCTGAATGCCCCCAAAGCCCCTCCCCTCCAATCAACTGACTTTTAACATGACAATGGCCATGACAATCCCTTCTAGCCAAGGCCAGGCTGGGGAGGACATAAAGCAGCCCCCCCCCTCCCCCTAATGGGGTACCTGCCTGCGGGCTGCCTGCA